ACAGGGGCCTTCCTGAACTTTTTCAGACTGCATTATTTGTCACCGTGTGCTTCTCGTGATACCTGCAAAACAGTCCTGGCAACCCAAGGCCTGCGTTTGGCCTAGGGAACATGAAGAGGGTGGGTGTTTTCTCACCTTGCAACCAACCAGGGAGGAAAGAACGCAGAGGAGCTGGGGAGGAGGAAGCCCAGAGCATCGTCCCTGGGGTGGACATAAAGGAAAGAGCAGGTACACAGAATGTGTAGGAGAGTCATTCATTCATGAGAGCTCCCTCAGAGCCCTGCCACGCCCAGACATGGAATCAGATGCAGGGGTACACGGGTGTGCCTGTTTGCCAAGGCTGGGACAACGCGCATGCCTAATACATTGAAAGGAGAGAAGGCTCATTCGGGTTGGTGGCTCCAGAGTTCAGCCTGCAGGGGGCTGGCTCCACTGCTGCTGGGCCAGGGTGAGGCAGGACACTCCAGTCACAGCAGAAGGCCCAGGCTGTATCCACCCCTCCCAGTAACACATTCCAGCCATGACCCTATTATGGATTAACCCTCTGGCGACATCACAGCCTTTGTCATCCTGTCACTCCCCAGATCTTGAGGGGGGCATCTTGGGAGACATTCTGAATCTAAACCATTACAATTGGTGAGGGAGAAGACCCCCAGCTGGCCCAACAGGTACCCTTAAGCTAGCAAGTACAGTTAATTACAGTCACAAGCAGTGACAGGTAAATAGGAGGTGAGGCAGGGCAAGGAGGGCTTGTCCCCAGGGAAGCCCTTCAAGACCGAACTCGGGGTGGTCCCTCACAAATGGAGGGGCTGTGGGGAGAGCCTCCTGCAGGGGCCAACCTGACAGCCATCCCCTCCCCCAGCAGATGGACATCTTGGTCCCCTGCACCCTTCCAGTAGGGGCCATGCTGACCTGAGCGTGCCCACGCACTGTCTCCCTCCCTACATTCTCAACTTGTTGAAGCCAAGAAACATACCTTGCCCATCCCGGTGCCTGGGGCCTACTAAATGAACGAAAGAGCAAAAATATCTTTCATTTTTAGTGTGTCACATGGGGAAACGAGGAACGAGAATGTTCCTTTCAACAGCCCCGTCCACATGAACCAATGTCAGCAAATTTAAACATTAAGCCAAGTCCAACAAGATGAACTGGAACAGGAATAAATGTAAAAATCCCAAATGGAGGTGCCTGAAGCCACAGCACCAGGGCCGGATCCACCCGCCTCCCAGTCACGGTCCCAGGTGTTGGGCACAAACCAGAACAAACACAAGGTCCCTGATGTCACAGACCTTCAATTCAATTTGCAGGGAAGATTTACAGGTTTTTAACTAATCACAAGCTTAGTGTGAGTCATTAAGGTAATATGGCAACAAGAAGCCTGACCCCACTGCCGCCAGGAGACGCCCGTGCAGAGGACGGAGAGGCTGTGTGCTAGGCAAGTAGACACCGCAAGTACAACGTCCAGCAGGTGGGGTCTGGAAAGTGGCTGCTCAAGGGTGGGGAGGCCTCCTTCCCCTCAGCGGGATGATGAGAGAAAACCGTGCAGCGGGGTCACCCTCACTGCGAGCTCAATGGTAAAACAGTTCCCCATTCACCGGAAATGCAGCATGCAGCACAGGCTTCGTAGAGTCAGAAGGAGCCAGAGTCCAGCCCTGGGCTGGGAAAGTTGCACACTGGCACCGTACGTAGCGGTGCACTCCTGTTACCCCAGCGCCCAGGAGACCGGGGCAGGAGGATCACTGTGAGTTCCAGGTCAGCATGGCTACATAGTGAGTTTGAAGTCAGCCTGGACTACACGGGGAGACCCTGTCTCAGAAAAACAAACGTAGCCTCCCTCCACGGCCTGTAACAGAAGCTGGCAGCAGCTCGCACTGCACCCTGGCTCTGCTCAGAAAGGCGAGCATTTACAGAGGTGCCCAGGGCAGGGCTAGCCCTTGGTGAGCCCCAGGAAGCTCATGGCAGCATTAACAGCTCCGCATTTCATCTGCCAACTTCCAGCTTGCTGAGGTAAATCATCTTGCTGTCTCTACTTGTACAGACTTCCATATAGAGAAGCAATTGCTATAGCAGTTGAAAACTCTA